ACCATGGTTTTATGATGGAACCGGTGTTTCTTACCAAGGTGTGCGTGGTTCAGTTCAATTCGATTTTAGGCCAAAATCGAAACATACTCGATATTATCGAATTGACATAAAAACTATAATCTCTTGATCCAAACACCTAATATTTGAATTCATTCACTTGAGCTTGAGTATCCGAACTGATTAAACACTTGAATTATATAAAATAAAATATAAATAATAATAATAATAATAGTAAATAAATTACCACAAAACCACCAAAAACAGTCCATTGTTTAGAAGTCATCAAATCAAAGCAGAATCAAAAATCAGTTTATGGTGTTTAATTTGTGAACCTTCTTACTAAAATAATAATGAGAGTGTTTTACTTTAAGGATAGCATGGACCCATTCAAATCTGGTTTTTGTCTCCACCATTGTTTAATTGGCAATAGTTTTATGATAAGGTATGTTATATGTAGCACGGACACACAAATAGCGATACAGGAAAAAAAAACCATCGAAAAAATGGGGAAATAAAAATTTGGAGATAACATGTAAATATTAGAAGTATATGGGTACATTTATAAATATGTTATATAATCACACATAAGTTTTTTTATTTATATATAAATTTCTTTTATATATTTTCATATAAACATATTCACAATGTTATAATCAACTCAATTTGCAATTGATCATTAAATCATGTAAATAATTAGGGAATTAACAAAAATATTTGAAAATTTGCTATTCAAACATATTCCTAATTTTTCAGAAATTATAAAATGACCCATAAGGTGTCCGGTATGTGTCATCGAGTGTCGAATATCTAAAAAACAAATACACTAAGAAATTGAATTTTTGTGCTATATAGACTTGAGATGAATTATATTTGAAAGAAAGATAAACTTTTCATTTTTTTCCCAAAATAAAATTAAAATCCCAATTTTAGGAAAAGAGTGATAGAACTTTCAAAATGGAACCAAACACATCACAAGACTTCAAATCAAAGTAAGAGTGTTGTTTTTGCTCCACAAACCAAAATAGTCAACAATTATATATAATTTTATTTATTTATTTATTTATATACTATGAAAGCTCCACCATCCATTATATATATTTAACTTTTGTAACATGTAAGGATATTCCCAAATATATTCGATTTATTAGTAATAATTGAAAAGTATCTTTTCCATGTCGGTAGTGGTCATAACTCATACGAAAACATTATGGGCAAGAAAAATGCAATAAAGTTGAGAATATAAATAGAACTACAAAAAGATAAAAATGTTTTTTTTATCAAAATAAATTCAATTAACTAACCACATTCCAAAAAGAGGTGCAATTTTATCTTATCGCCACGTGGGATTCTAATAGCATCAATCATATAATGCCATTTTTCATATTCTTCCACTATTATTGGCTCTCTCTCTCTTTTTTTTTTTGTCCTTTCCTTTTTCTTTTTCTTTTTTAACAGAAACCCAACAAGCTTTGTAAATTGTACATTAGATAATTGAGATAATTAGTAAAAAAAAACCCAATTCATTTATTGAGGTGGATATAGCCTCATTTTTATTATTAGTGAGAACCCCCTTAATTATTTAATTAAATTAATATTAATATAATTATTAAATGTTATATCTATATTATCCTTAATTTTCCAACTCTTATATTTACAAACCCTAGCCATATTTGCAACAACAAACCACCGTTCTCAAATCCCCACAGTACAAACTGCCGTTCTCAAATCCCCATCACCTCTTCTCTTCTTTTCTTGAACCGAAACTCACTCGGCTCGATGGCGGCGGTGGTGAAGATGACGAAGGCGGCGCTACATCTCAACAACGACAAGGAAGACCCCTTTTTTCTTCTTTCTCGAATTGGGAATCCGACAGATGTGGGGCAAGGAGAGGACGAAGCCGGCTCCAGATCTCGACAACGACAAGGCGACACCGCCGAATTTAGGACGGACGGCGGCCTTCCAGTCTCCCCCTTCTTTTATGAGGGATGAACATATCTG